GAATCCAATTTTCACTCTTTCAGAGCATATTGTGATAGCTTAGAATCCAACAGCAGAGAAATTAAGGAAAGATGGGATTTTTATTTGAACAGAAGTTATGCAGAAGGGATTTGAGAGAATAGTTAACTGGACAAATTGTGTGAAGCTGAAGGCTACATTCCAAATCCAGCATTTGGTCATCTGTAATCTGTCTGAGCAAATAAACAAGGATATGGAGATATCCAGAACTGGAGCAGAAATCGAACTGTCTGCAGTTGAAACTGCAACAATAAACAGATTAAACACCAACTGCAACCTCACAATATTCCCTGCAACTTTCCCTTACTACTACATTCTTCCAGTTTCCTAGGCTTTGGGCCTGAATTGTTCATCTCAGTTGCATACATTCTTCTCCTCCTCCGTCTCCTCTCACCCTGTCTCCTTCCCTCCCTCCCTGATTATCTGCTCTCTGTAGGGGCCCTCACTGAAAACAAACTCCTGACTTCTCAATCCCCAAATCCTGTCCCTTGTCTCCACATACCTTTAATGTGACTTGCAATTGGCAAGGTAATTATTGAACTACATAACAGCAAAAAGATTTGCATCATACCTTAAGATACTTCCTTCTGACCAGCTGTTCTGAAAATATGCTAATGGAAATGGAAAAGCTTGAAAAAAACCTGCCCAAATAAAAAGAAAAAAAATTGGAAAGTGAAAAGTGGGATAAAAATTAATTTGTTTATTGTTGATGAGTAGATATATTTTAGCAAAACTTTGGAGTTTATATACTTCTGTAGATCCATGATATAGAAAAGTACAGGGAATACCATTGGCTGAAAAATCAACAACAAAGTGTCTTGAAGAATATGGAACAATTAAATATAGATTCCTAAAAAATAACTGCCATTTGTAGAAATGACTTTTGGGATAGAAATACTGAATATGGATGTTTGAATCTGTGCATTTAATCTTAAACTTGTTAATATATTTTTATATTCACAATGTATGGTGTGTGCATTTCCTTTCCCTCTCTATGCTACCTCATTATTGTGATGATGGTGATATTACCAGTAACAAGAGGAGTGAGCAAAAAACACCAGGAGCCAAATAAATAATCCCAGCAGGATCATCCAAGGGATGAAGATCTTCCCAGCTGCCTAAAGGAAACAGGTACCAATATTGGGCAGCAACAGTATAGGAAGTTCTTAGAAGTGGCTGGTCACTTTAGTGACAAAGGTAAAGGTAACAATTCATACTGCACAAGAGAAAATAATGGAAAAATCACTCTTTATGATATGGCTACATTAAAGCCTTTGGGGCATCTAGTTTCAGAGTTTCCAAATTATGCACATGATTTTTTCTATAATACTCCCACAGAAATCAAAGTTGGACTTTGAGAAGCCAGACAGAAAGAACATTGATGCTTTCAAATAGTTGGAGAAGACTCTAGTGCATAGCATGGACAGCTAGGAAAATAGATTGCATAATAAATTTTAAAAAATTACACATTTTGGAGACATTATGTGAAATCCCAGCTTCTTTGGGAGGTCCATAATGCTGGAAAAGGTAAAAGGAAAGAGGTAAAAGGATGACCATCAGGAAGGTGAATGCACTTAATTGTAGTAGTAATGAGTGCACTGTTGGAAGACCTGAAGGACCAGGTTGGGGAGAAATTATTATTTTGGAGAAAAATCTATCTATGACAGTGTTTCTCAACCTTGACAATTTTAAGGCATGTGGACTTCAACTCCCAGAATTCCACAGCCAGCAATGCTGGCTGTGGAATTCTGGGAGATGAAGTCCACATGCCTTAAAATTGTCAAGGTTGAGAAACACTGATCTATGAGGTTGCTAAGAGTTGACTCCCACTTGTGGCACATAATCAATTGTATATGCGTTGTGCGTTTTATTTTGTTGTTGTTATATATATTTGTTATATTATATCAGTGATGGCGAACCTTTTAGAAACTGAGTGCCCAAACTGCAACCTAAAACCCACTTATGCATCGTCGAGTGCTGGGTGGGTGTGGCCCATTGGGTGGGCGTGGCTGCAGTGGTAACGGCAGACTGGGTGGGACTAAAAAGTTCAATCAATCAATTCCAACTTTGCAAGATCTTTTTTTTTCCCTGCGAGAAGTTGAAATTGACTGATTGAACCTTTTTTTTTTTTTTTTGCACATGGCGGCGAAGGCCTAAAGCGAAAAGGTTTTATAAAACCCAGCTGAAGGCCTAGGACTGGGGCGATGGCGCGCGTGCCCACAGGGCTCTGAGTGCCGCCTCTGGCACCCGTGCCATAGGTTCACCACCACTGTACTATATTATATACACAATAAAAAAAATTTTAGAACATACAGAAAACAGAAACTTACAATCACATGGTTGCACAATTTTTGTTTCTAGAATGCCTTATTTAATTCATCAGTCTCCAACCTTTCCAGCTTTGCGGACCGAAGGAGGGGGGGAGGAAATGGTTCTGCTTGGGCGCTGGACAAGTGCGCGCACAGCTCCATTTGCACCAGCGGCAGGCACATGCACCCAATGCTTGCACAAATGAAGCTGCGCGTGCACTCACCCACCCACTGCACGCACAAGTGGAGCTATGTGTGCGCACTCACCTACTTCCGCGGCTCCGGGTTGGGGATCCCTGATCTAATTGACGATTTAGCTCTTTTCCCAATTAGAAAACGTAATGGTTATCACAATAGAAACATCTTGGGGCTTGTTATATATTCTTTTATACAGGAACTTGACCAGGGGGCAGAGAGAATAAAGAAAAGGCAGTTGCAGTGTGGCAGGTCTTAAAATTAAAGCTGAAGCTTAATTTTTGTGAAATGATCTTCAGAAATTCTCTATGAGATCTTCTTCTAATTTTGAATACTGCAGCTACTGAATGGTTGATAGTTCTGTTGTGATAGCCCTCTGCTGGTCTATACTCAAACTAATTTTTATTGTCTTTTATTTGCTTGTACATACAATATAGTAAGAATATTCCCAACTTATGAAATATATATATATATTATTTATTGGTTATAAGGTAGTGTATAGTAATATTGTCATGGCCGCCATCCTGCTAGCATTGCTTTGAATTCTGACATTTCTGCAATGGGGGAGGGAGGAGACTGGAATGTGGGAGGAGGGGGGGTTGTCTGGGAGCCAAGCAGTGTCAGCCCAACAAGGGAGATGCACCAATCCAGCCCAAGGTCACATAAAAAAATGTGGAGATGAAGGAGGCACGCAGAGGGTTTGTTACTCAAACCTGAAACTTCTTAATTGGTCAAAGACTGATAACAGGGAGAAGTTCTGGGGAAAAAAAGAAAGTGAAGTATCTTGTTTGCATGCCAATTCATCAGATTCTGCCTTGGAACTTCTGTAACCAGTTTTACTTCAGTAAAGTATACTCTCGGTCAAAAGGATGGTCCAGGTATCTTTCTTTACTAACTGAGTGGGACGGATGACATTAAGTGGAATTTGTTGAATTGGCACACAACCAAATATATTTCATTCAAGTACTTGTATGAGGTATTTGAAAATTTAAAATCACATTGTTTTGCTTGATCAGAGTGGAATAAATCTGTTTAGGCATGATTCTGTCAGAAGTCTGCAATTGTTTGCCCCCAGATATACTATCTTTACAGTTGTGTTTTTAAGCTATCCCTTTTAACTAATATGCATACAAGAACTTGCAAATTTAACCTCGTACTCCACCTTGCCACAATGTTTTAACCTAATCCATACGTGTGTGTGTGTTTAACACTTATAATTATTTGCTGTTTCTATATTTCATCTAGTTTTACAATTGAGTTGACCTTTACAACTTTACATGCAGTTTTGACTTCTTCAGTAAATAAATGTATGGGGTGATGAGTGAGGATGGGGGAAAAAAACTATATACTAGGACTTTATCATCTGGAATCTGAAAACTGCATTCACTTCTTGACTTAGTATCTGATTTCACCATCCCTAGATGAGAGATAACAACCAAAGGAAGAAAGGAAGGGTCAGACAGAGATCGAATTGCAGAAGGAAAAGAGTTATACAACCCTACAATATTGTAAATCTTGCTCTTTTCACCTACTATCTGTGATGGACTATCTTTGAAAAAAATGCAGCCCTTAGCAGAAAAAGGTTACAGTATAGTGTTCAATCCACACAATAGACTGAATATATGAAACTACATGAAAAAGGTTTTCCCAAATACTAGACAGTGGAAACTCCACTATTGTATTTTGGGGAGGAAGGGAAATTGGTTGGGCATGTTAAGTTAATCCAATCTATTATGATAGCTGCTGGTTTGAGATTTTATTCCTTAAATTTGTAGATGAAAAAAAAAAAGGCTTCTCCTTGCCCCAAAAAAAGCATGCCATCAGATATAAGTGTAGTGATGCTTAAAATGCAGGAAATCAAGACAATGTATTATTTAATTACATCATGCAACATCGACCTTTGTCTTTCTATTGTAATTCCATGCAACTCTTTCATCCACTTATCAATTAATCCTGCACTGCTTGTTATCCAGGTGCTAAGTACATTCTTTTGAAGTGAGTCCAATACAATTTGGTAGAATTTGTTTCAGTGTAACATGCTCATGAGCTGGTAGGGCAGGGCAAGGCATTTTACTCTGCAAGACAAACTCAGTAAATAGCTCTCTTTTTCACCATTTCATAATACCCATTAGTTTGGCAGATGAAACAGCACCTTTCCTTTGGAATGAAAAACAATATAAAATCAACAAAACAGCTCTGCTTCTCATGAGGTCCACAAATTGGCAGAGTTGGGACTCAATGAATACATTAAAGTCATTCTGGAAAAATCTAGGATGCCTTTGGGTTATGCAAGATATGACATTCTCTCTGACTTCCTCACTTGGGAAATATCCTAATAGATACACAATGATGTTCAAAAGTTTGTGAACTCTTTTGAATTTTCAATATTTTTTTTTGCATTAGTATGACCTAAAGTGTGATCTGTTCTGCACACAAGTCCTAAAAGTAGATAAAGAAATGAATGAAATGAAACACAAATATCATCACAAATGCCCGTCCATTTTTAATATACAGTAGTTTGAACTGACAATACATGGAAATCTTAATTCTTGACCTATAGTTGGGATGGCACATGCCGGCATTTAGAATGCTGCAGTTTGGTCATTCTACTTAGCCCAGCCAATTGATTCTCAGACTTGCAACTGAAAATCCTTCAATCCACAGGAGGATTTATTTTGGTGGTATCAATGGTCCTGGTGGTGGCAGTGGTCGTGGTTCAAGCTCCTGTTCCTTAATACAGATCACACTAGAGACAAAGGCAAGGAATTATGTTTTGCTTTGTAATTCTCTCCTTTCCCCTCCTGTGAATTGCAAAAGAATGGGCAGACAACTACTCTGAGGATGAGCTGCTTGCAGACACCAAATCTGGAACTCCTACACAAAATATTGACTGGCCAGGAGGTTTTATGACCTCCCACCTTACGTTCTATTATGGGGAAAGTACCTCTCAAAACAAAAAAAGATAAAATAAGTGCCTGAACAATACAAAGATTTGACTAAGGAAGACTGAGATAAGCCTCTATTACATGAAGCTGACACTATAAATTGCTTCTATTTTTTATTTTTATTTTTTTGGAAAAACAAAGCAACACAGATCTCTTAAGTGACTCGATCACTAATTAACCTCTTGGATAGTAGCATTGAAAAAAATCAGCGTAACCAATGGCTCTGAGAAATGCAGAATTGCAATAATGTAAATTTTTGGGAATCATAATAATCTAAACTGCTTTGGATGATCTCTTAAGGACTACAAAATAATACATTTTAAATAAATATGTTTCCATGTATGTGTTGTTGTTAATAATCTGAGATAACAAATATTAATGTAAGATTAATATAATATAATATTAATATTATACAAGTCACATTTTCAGTGTATTAAGTTCTGGATTCAGAATATTCACTTGCCTATTACTAGAATTTTAAATTATCTCTGATGTTTGTTTCAATGTAATATCCCACTATATAACCCATATAATTGGCAGCTTAATTCCAGAAAATAAACCCAAGACTAAATTACTTTATTGTGTAATTTCAAGTATTTATTGTACATAAGTGTGGAAGTTCATTCAGGTAAAAAACATAATATAGTTATTAATCATCTTCAAGAAAATGAATTACCAGATTTCTGAGCTATACACATCTATTGTTTATCTTCTGCTTCCATTGGAGCATCTGATGATTCTTCAGCTTCTGAAAGCTTCTCATCATCTGAAATATATGCAAAATAAAATTTCTTTTTTAAAAAATACTAATATTACATGTATGTAGAGACACTGATAGGAAAAACATTGCCCATTTCTCCTGGGCTCTCCAACCTTATTGTTTTTCATTCTGCATAGTTCAATACTGCTTAGTTTGCTTCGTTTACTAACAGTTGCTTAAGAAAGACTCCCCCAAAAGAGACTTACGACCCGGTTTTGAAGTTCCAGAGCCACACGACCACATTTTGACTGCAAAGGCAACTGGCCCAAATGACCACAGTAGTTGTTTAATGATTATGTCATTCATTCATTCATTCATTCATTCATTCATTCATTCATTCGATTTCTATAGCTGCCCTTCTCAGCAAATGACACTGGGTGGCTATAGAAATTGAATAAATAAATAATAAAAGAATTAATTAAACAAAAAAAATGTCAGAATTGTTAAGCAATTGCTGTGGTCATTAAGCAAATCCTTTGTTTGCTGTGTGGTGTAGTAACTGGGAAGTAACTGGGCATTTGTTTAATGACTACTACAAAAAAGAACATAAAATCGGGTCCAGTCACATAGTTTTATCACCATCATGACCTACAATCATAACTGTGGAACTCAATTATAGTCACAACTTAAAGACCAACTATAAAGAATAAGACAACATAAGGTAAGTTGAGGGCAGAATTCAGAACTCGACATTTAATAAAGCTGCCCTGAATATCTCTAAGTCAATGAAAATTTGGAGAGTCAAGCAGCTAGATAAAAGGGAGGGAAGCTGTGGAAAATGATCATATTCTTATATACGGTACCAGCATAACTTACTTTCCAGTGTTTGCTGAAGCTCGTGGATGGTGCTCAGAAGAACATGAAATTGCTTTCGTCTCAACTCCAGCTGAAGCACAGAAAGGAAATATACTGAAGAATATGGGCTTCTTAAAAAGACTCTATTCTGAATCAATAAGCTTATCAGACAAACTTACTTTGTCTTCAACACTTTCTTTGATATGAGACAGATGCTGCAGTTCTTTCCCCAGAGCTTCCAACTGCCTGAGAACATATTAAGTGCATTGTCATTTAACGCATAGTACCTTCACTCGTTTTATTTTAATCGTTTATACTGAACACGTTAACTGTTCAAAATCCCCTAAGTAGCTCATTTGCAAATAATAATGAAATTCTAATTTAAACCAATTAACAGAATCTGAACCAGATAGAGCAGACTTTCGGCAGTAAAACTCCATAAACCAAGTATGAAAATGTCTGCACAAATAAAAAGGCATTGGAGAGAAAGCAACCTGTCTAATTTTCTTCTAGAAACCTGGGGGGGGGGAACTATTCCAAAGACAGATTACTCAGCTCAGGATACCTCATCTCACCTTTAATGGCAAAAGAATCCATAAAGATTATTGTAATTCAGGCTTGCGCAAAAGCAATTTATTTGAAATATTCATTGAAAGCTCAAAATATTAAAGTAGCACTTTCAATTGTGCCGGGAAATGAACTCAACGAAAAGCCCATTTTTCAAGATTAGCAAAACTAATCCATACTTCAGTTTCTGTTATGTTTTCAAAAACAGGAGTACATACTGTTCATTGGCATACTACCAGCCCCTGTACAGGAAGTCCTTGATTTAAAACAGTTGTTCAACAGAATGTTCAAAGTTACAAAGGCACTGAAAAAAGTGATTTATGAACTTTTCATACTTATGACCATTGCAGCATCCCCATGGTCACATGATCAAAACTCAGATGCTTGGCAACTAACTCACATTTATGATGGTTGCAGGGTCCTAAGGTCATGTGATCACATTTTGTGACTGTTTGACTAGAGATCAATGGGGAAACCAGATTCACTTAACAATTGTGTTACTAATTTCACAACTGCAGTGATTCATTTAACAACTGTGGCAAGAAATGTCGTAAAATGGGGGTAAAACTCACTTAACAAATAATATTGATGATGGACATATAAATTATTTTGCCATTATTATTTAATAGCGGTACTCTGTAATGTATTTGCTACTTGAGTTCATTTCATACTTACTTCAGTGTTTCATGTCTATCTGGATGTTTCTGTATTAACTTAGCCAAGCTATCATATTCTGAAAAGAATAAAATATGGATCATATCCCATATTGTTCCAATACCACAAAGTATGACATTTATAATTCAAATAATTTTTAAAGTGTGTATTTTATTTAGTGTGCAGAACTCAAATTTGAAACATAGTCCTTTCTTTTTCTTGTTCTATTTTTATTATAAATTATAAACAATATAATAAAACAAAAGGAAAACAATGTAACAGTAATTAGATAATCTCAAAAAGGTTTAATCAGCAAAAACTGGCAAAAAAACTTCCTTTTTACTTATGTTACATAGACCTGCAGCATCAATGGTAGATCCAAGAGACAAATCAGATCCTTAAAAGAGAGTAAAATTGCTCAGAAGATGAATTTTTACTCTCTTTTAAGGAATTCCTCTCTTGAAAAATTCCTCAGTAAAGGGATTTTTTTTTAATTTTGTCATTTATAATAATAATAATAATAGTAGTAAAGGTGGAAGGGACCTTGGAGGTCATCTAGTCCAACCCCCTGCTCGGGCAGGAAACTCTACACCATTTCGGACAAATGGCTGTCCAGTCTCTTCTTAAAAACTTCCAGTGTTGGAGTATTTACTGCTTCTGGAGGCAAGCTGTTCCACTGATTAATTATTCTCACTGTCAGGAAGTTTCTCCTTAGTTCTAGGTTGCTTCTCTCCTTGATTAGTTTCCACCCGTTGCTTTAACCCTGTTCTACCAGTAACTGTTGCTTATATAATGGGGATATTCAAAAGTTTAGGTGACAGCCAACCTTCTTGTATGAACTTCCCGAAAAATTTCATAGAAACCTTGAATAATGTGGGAGACAAGCTAAAAGAGCTCCTAAGGAATCGAGTAGATATCTCAAACTATTGTTTTCTAAATAGCACTTGAAGAAATAGTAATGAAAATATCAAAATAGCATCTATACCCCTTCCCCTTTGCTCTCACAAGCATTCCAACAAGATACTATATAGAAAAGCCACTGAGAGATTAAAGCATGTCAATGGGGTCATAATCTATCCTCTTTTGGATACCAAAACGATGTCCTTACCATCACCATATCTAAACAAAAAAATATATATCAAGATTTCATCTAAGAGTTCCTGGAGTTGCACTCCCGATCAGCCTGGTGAAATATGGAGTAATAAAACACTATCAACAATTATTAAGATAGGATAGATCCACAATTTTTAAGCAAAGGCCTCACTAAAGCTTTTAAGAGGACTGCTAAAAAGAAGGATTATTAATTTCAGTAATCTCTGACCAAACAAATTCTTTAGAGATCTTTATATCGCAATAAGTTCTCCAAAAGATTCAGAATCTAACTAAAGGTATACACTCCAAAGTCACATATCTCTTTGAGCATACCTAGAATCTCTTGAAAGTGAAAGTCCAAAACAAACTTATCTATACATCATAGTCTAGGAAGAATTCAATATCTCAGAGGCTGCCACGAAGAAGAGGGAATCAAGATATTCTCCAAGGCGCCTGAAGGCAGGACAAGAAACTAATCAAGAGGAGAAACAACCTAGAACTAAGGAGAAACTTCCTGACAATTAGAACAATTAACCAGTGGAACAACCTGCCTCCAGAAGCCATGAATGCTCCAACATTGGAAGTTTTTAAGAAGAGACTGGACAACCATTTGTCCGAAATGATATAGGGTTTCCTGCCTGAGAAGGGGGTTGGACTAGATGACCTCCAAGGTCCCTTCCAACTTTATTATGGATCATCGCACAGTCAGCCAGATGTTCAGACTGGATTTGGCATTTTGTCTACCTATCGAGTCCTTACCCAGGACCTGGGATAGGCAGATGTGGATGTTTGATGGTATTACAGATATCGTCGCAGGATGGAAGCAGTTCCTAGTAAAGCCGCCTTTTGCAATTGACTAATAGCGAATTTGTCAATGCCAATGGTGTTCAAGTGGTGCTCCAGTTGTTTTGGGATTGCACCCAAGGAGCCTATGACTATTGGTACTACCCTTGCTTGCTTTTGCCAGTCTTTCTATTTCTATTTGTAGGTCTTTGTATTTTGTTATCTTCTCCAGTTCTTTCTCTTCTATTCTGCTGTCTCCAGGCACTGCCACGTCCACTATCCAGACTTTTTTGTCTTTCTTATCGACAATTGTTAAGTCTGGGGTGTTATGTTGCAGGTGCTTGTCTGTTTGAATTCTGAAGTCCCAGAGCAGTTTAATTTTATCATTTTCTATGACTTTCTCTATTTTATGATCCCACCAGTTTTTGCTTATAGGCAAATGATATTTTTTGCAGATCTTCCAATGTACCATTGTTGCTACTTTGTCATGCCGCTGCTTGTAGTCAGTCTGTGCAATCTTCTTGCAACAGCTTACCAGGTGGTCCACTGTTTCTTCAGCTTCTTTGCATAGGCGGGACTTACTGTCTGTTGCTGTCTTCTCAATTTTGACTTTATTATATTATTGATCATCGCATAGTCAGCCAGATATTCAGACTGGATTTGGCATTTTGTCTACCTATTGAGTCCTTACCCAGGACCTGGGATAGGCAGAAGTGGATGTTTGATGGTATTACAGATATCGTCGCAGGATGGAAGCAGTTCCTAATAAGGCCGCCTTTTGCAATTGACTAATAGCGAATTTGTCAATGCCAATGGTGTTCAAGTGGTGCTCCAGTTGTTTTGGGATTGCACCCAAGGAGCCTATTACTATTGGTACTACCCTTGCTTGCTTTTGCCACAGTCTTTCTATTTCTATTTGTAGGTCTTTGTATTTTGTTATCTTCTCCAGTTCTTTCTCTTCTATTCTGCTGTCTCCAGGCACTGCCACGTCCACTATCCAGACTTTTTTGTCTTTCTTATAGACAATTGTTAAGTCTGGGGTGTTATGTTGCAGGTGCTTGTCTGTTTGAATTCTGAAGTCCCAGAGCAGTTTAATTTTATCATTTTCTATGACTTTCTCTATTTTATGATCCCACCAGTTTTTGCTTACAGGCAAATGATATTTTTTGCAGATCTTCCAATGTACCATTGTTGCTACTTTGTCATGCCGCTGCTTGTAGTCAGTCTGTGCAATCTTCTTGCAACAGCTTACCAGGTGGTCCACTGTTTCTTCAGCTTCTTTGCATAGGCGGCACTTACTGTCTTTTGCTGTCTTCTCAATTTTGACTTTGTATTATTATTACTACTACTACTACTACTACTACTACTACTACTACTACTACTACTACTAATTTCTGCTGTGGAACACTTGATCGCCAGAGGTGAAATCTGCTCCCTCCTTCTTGGCCTTCTGGAAGGATCTTAAAACCTGGCTCTACCAGCTGGCCTGGTGCCCCAACAGAGGTGCTCTACGTGAGGGACGATTGATGTGATAGAGAGAAGATCCCACTCTCTCTGTGCTACCCGTTCTCTTCGTTTTTAGTTTCTATTTAATTCTTGTCAATTTTAATTGTTTTTATATACTGGTGGCATAGTAATTAAAGTGCAATATCTCAGGCAAATTCTGCCCACACCTGAAGTTCGAGCCTGATGGGGGCTCAAAGTTGACTCACCCTACCATCATTTTGAAATTGATAAATTGAAAACCCAGATTGTTGGGTGCAATAAGCAAAAATGCTTCTACATTGCAGACTGCCCGCCCAAAAAGTGCTGGAAAGCGCTATCAGGCGGTATATAACCCTAAATGCTATTGCTATATTATCTTTTTTATCATTTTGTAAGTTGCCCAGAGTTGCTTCAACAGTGAGATGGGGGGGCATATAAATTTAATAAATAAATACAGTTGTCAACTGCAAAATAAACCTTACCTTGGCGGTTTTTTCGTATCCTTTTCGCTTGAAGAATTTGCTTTTTGCACTCAGCAATTTTTTCATGAGCTGCAGCTATGCTGTTTTCTTCCAAATAAATAAATAAATAAATAAAATTAATGACATAATATTACTGAACTATAAAAATTACACCAATCAGTATGCAGCAACATTACCCAAATTGATTTTCATCTCCACAACTTTAAACAGATCAAGAAGTTAAAATACATTGCATTTTCTGATATTGTAATTACTGCCAAAATACTCAGAATGTTTGTCTGTGATGTATGTGTGTGTTGAAGCTAGTATTTCTATAAAAATGTAATTACAAGAATCTGGTTCTAAGGTTGATTAGGCATAATATAAATGTTTATCAGTCTGTAATCACAGCCTTGGATAGCTCACTATGAAAACAAATTAAACTATTTACAATGAACCAATAAAATGTATTAAAAACTATAGAACAGTAACAAAGGCAAAATTAATTAAAATGGAACAATTCAAAAGACCAGTACTAAAAAAAATACTGCTTTCACAAAAGTGAGATCAGTGCAGCTACCACTTCTAACATCAAGGCAACATTTTGAGCTAAGAGATGGACTGGGAACCAGTGAAGGTCTTGAAATTCTGACATGATAAGTTATTACTCAGTCAATTATCTGAAGTTTCCAGAATATTTTTAAAAGCAGTTCCCACAAAATACTGTAGTAGACCAAATAGAAAGTTATTTAATTATAGCTAATGATGACCAGACAGTATCACAGCTAACGTGCTAGCCTAAGCTAGTAAAAATTGATATTGTATCATCTCTAATGACAGATAAATTAAAATCTACTAGATAAGAACTGAATTTAAAAAGTGTACAAACTTTCTTTGTAACAACCTGAACATTATTTCCACATGAACTTTCTAGGTTCCAAACAACGGCAAAAAGGTTGCCTTTAGCACCTAGCTTTCAGTTTGCAAGATAGAAATAAATCCATCTTATCCTCAAGAACAATTTTAAGAAAGAATTACACCTATGGCAGTTAAAACATTCTATTGTACCAATAAGAAGAGGCTGGACTGTTCCAATATGTAATTAAAAGCATCTCAACCTGAACAAGCGTTCAGAAGAGGATGATTACAATTAGAATATTTCAACTTCGAAATCCTTTTTATACCTGATTTGAAACAATTCCTTTTTTTAAAGAAGTTTACATTTGACACTAATAATCAAGAAAAAAAATGATTACCTATATCGTTGTAGATTTTTTCATAGTTCTCCATTTCTCTGAGATTCATGTCGTATACTAGTAGAGTTTTTCCCATTGAAAATTCACATTGTGAAAGAGTGCTGAGCATGCGCTGATACTGAGTATAGCTAAACACCAGAGAAAGAACATATGGCATTAGTAGCTAATCAACAATTCTCAAAGGCACTATCCTAGATACAACTTGAAACAAGTTAAAATAAAGTAGATTTATTTTTGTTTTCACTAAAGGTTCTAAACAAATTATGCCAACAAATCTGAAGAATGACCTTGTGGCCAACAGACTGAAAGAAATCAGGTTGTATGCCAGTATCAAAAAAGGAGACTTAATAGAGTGTGCAATCTTTGCTTGTAGTTCCTTGATTGAGGTATTGTTTGCTTCTTGGTTGTTGATCCAATGTTAATCTTAGTGTTAATCTCTGCTCATTTGGGTGTGGATTGCTAGTGAGGAGGTGTTTTGGTTTTGTTTGACTGTCTCTTTTGAATGGCATGTAGATCTTAGGAACTACCAACTCAAACAAGCTAACAGAAAGCACACAAGCTAACAGTAAGCTATAGCCAATCAAGGAAGAACCAAGACCACTAACACTCAATCCCTTAGTACCGGTATATAAAATGAGAACAAGCTCCATTCTAAACTGGCACTGATGATGTTACCTAATTTGGTTATGAAATGTCTGCAAGAAAACAACCAAGCTCAGAGAGCAACAAGAACCTTGTAGTTCAATCCTGAGCTACAATTATTCTTTTCTATTGGCATATTATTGATGCTTTTGAACGTTGGCAATAGGATAAACTTCTGAGAATGCCATATATAGCCAAAAAAAACAAAATGGATCATAGAACTCACACCAACCCCAAGGCACAATTTCCAAAGTGGCAACTGGATTTCCCTGGTTTTTTCTTTGAAAACATTTCACTTTTCATCTAAGCTTTCTTACATTTTTCTGGACAAGCGGACACATTTTTAAACAAACCACGAGCACTCATAACCACTAGCCTACAACTATCTAATAATAATTCCTGGATGAATTATTAGAAATACAAATATTAGAAAAGAATGCCTTGTTTTCCAGCATATCAAATTTCCATTCATTTTAAGAAAAAAAAAAACAGTTTAGAAAAAATATTAGAAGAGTATCAATCTCTTCACCAGGAGTTGGTAGTGACTGCTTCTTGCCCATGGCTGTCATTAGCTTCTCCAAGGCAACAGACAATGTGAAAATTACTACTGAAATCTCATCATGTTGTGAGATTTTGATGTTCTTTTTTGTAAATTTAAAAATTGTGGAGGAAGTAGCTCTTGGAAATTTTATCAGAACATTACAAAAGCACACATATCCAATTGCACAACCATTAGAATAGTAATGCAGTATCCCAATTCATATTACATTCACTATCAGAGGTACCTAAAAAACTGATAGAACCTTAATATTGTTCCATAATATAATTATATATTCATAATGTAGCATACAGTGTGTAGTGTGAGGAAACTGGTATCCTGCACTGAAAGAACAGTCTTAACTGAAGGTATTTAAAATGTATACAACAAATAAATAGCAATGATTTACTTCAGAATACAGGATAACAGAGTTGGAAGGGACCTTATAGGTCATCTAATCCAAACCCTTGCTCATGGTAGACCCTATACTATTTCTGACAAATGGCTGTCCAGTCTCCTCCTGAAAGCTTCCAATGATGAAGCACCCACAACTTCTGAAGGCAAGCTGTTCCATTGGTTGATTGTTCTCACTGTCAGAAAATTTCTCCCTATTTCTAGGTTGACACTCTCCTTGATCATTTTCCATCCATTGTCCATTGTTCCTTGTCTGGCCTTCGGGTGCTTTGGAAAATAGATTGACCCACTCCTCTCTGTAACAGCCCCTCAAATATTGGAACACTGCTATCATGTCACCCCTGGTCTTTCTCTTCACTAGACTAGCCATGCCCAGTTCTTGCAACCGTTCTTCATATGTTTTAGCCTCCAGGCCCCTAATCATCTTTGTTGATCTTCTCTGCACTCTTTCTAGAGTCTCAACACCTTTTTTATAGTGTGGTGACCAAATCTGCTTGCAGTATTCTAAGTGTGGTCTTACCAAGTACTAAGGTACGTAGTACCTCCTGTGATTTTGATTCAATCCCTCTGTTAATGCAATTTAGGATTGCATTGGCTTTTTTGGCTGTTGCCACACACTGCTGACTCATATTTAATTGATTATCCACTAGTATCCCCAAGATCCCTCTCATTAAACTGATTTTATCCGATGGCTTCCATTTATTTGTTTTTCCTTTATTTGATGATTTGTTATTGTTTTTCTTAGAACTATAAATCAATGCATTTTCCCAGCACATATTAGCTAGCCTGTATCATACTATTCAGCACTTGCTATAAAACCCATTCATTTTAATTACCAAAGCAATCCCCATATTACCAAAGATATACTTCAAAATATGTATTACAAAGTTATAAAATGTTGTTTTCACTCATATATATGTTAAACCATTTCAGATACAGGCCATTAGATACAAATTCCATTTTCTGTTAAAATGAACATATGCTATAGATAGCACTGCTGTTGAATGAACTGTTTCCACATTTGATTTACAAATAAAAGACAGCAAAATACCCTTCTTCTTGAGATCCAGAATGGCACCACTTGATGAAACTCTTCACCAACAAATTAATTCGTCTGTCATCCCCTGCACCATCTCCATCAATCAAAAGTCGCTTGCGAATAACTTCATCTAAAATAGCAATAATATTTCTACAATGAGACAAATTATCACTTGTCATAGAAGCCTGTCATTAAAAATGATTTTTTTCTTAAAAAATTGTCATGGAGGATTGTTAGCTTACAAAAAGACCCTGACTCACTTTATAATAAGGATGTGTAAAACAGAGACCTCCATGGGGAACTTGTTATCTGAACTGGAATTTTACTGTAACAATTTAATTAGTTGTTAATTATATGAATAATCAGTTATGAGAACTTATAACATCATTCTGTTTTGATTTTTTTGATAATCTTGACTCCTAGTGACTAGATGGAGAAGTCCATGTAGTTTTCTAGACATTTTTGGAAGTGGTTTGCTACTGCCTTCTCAGGGCTGAGAGAAAGTGACTGGCCCAAAGTCTCTACTCCTAGTCCAGTGTCCTAACCACAACACCAAACTGTCTCACAATCTTATTCAAAAAAAGACATAGTGTGTTCAATGGGCTTACATACAGAAAATTTGACACAGAGTTGCAACCTTCAATATAGAAAAAAGGAGACTACAGTATATTATTTAAAAATTAACTACAACTTTATAAAAAAGTTCATCAAAATATAAATACACTAAATAAATTTCAAGTATTAGGAGGAAAAAGTGATCAGTTAATCTTTAAATCCATGGGGTATGTCTACAGAAGAACAAAACCTGAAAATAGAATAAACTATATAAAAGTATTGGAGCTGTACAATTGGAATAAAACAGGAAGTTAATAAGGCGTCAATGAGAAACAAGAGCAAAACAAGAGTTATGTGCAGAAAATCAAGATATCTTTAAAGAAAATATAACCGGGCCTGGAAATAGGGTATGGCAAGGTCTTGCTATCAACTAACATTCTTGTGCAGAAAAAATACATTAATGATCAAGAAAACTGGAGGAAGAATAGGAATAAGGAAGAATCATTAATTTTGTGCAGCCTTAGTATGTAAAGACAAACTGCTAACACATCCAGTACAGTCTGTATGATTGGTAAAAAAGCAGTAAAAAAACACTAAGTCTCTGGTCATATGCAGAGTGCTAAAAGTAATAGACAGGGAGATTTTCTTCAGATATTTTCTTTCTTTTTTTGAGATATAGAGATCATCTCACCTCAAAATAATTTTGAGCTGACCCATAGGACAGAATTCCCCAACCTTCCTGGCTTTGTGGATCAGTGGCAGGGGGGGGGGAATGGTTCTGCACAAGTGTGGGCAAGTGCGGGCGTGCATGCACAGCTCCATTTGCGTGAGCAAAGGGCATGAGTGTCTGTTGTTCACACAAGTGGGATGCGCATGCTTGCTTGCCCATCACTTCCATGGCCCTCTTCTGAATGATTCAAGGCCCGGTAATGGGCTGTGGTCTGGGAGTTGGGGACCCTCTCAGATATAAGCTATGAAGGCTTTATAGATAATAACCAGCAATTTGAATGGCTAATTCTGAGAATTTGTGCAAGTTATGGACTGGGTCAGCAAGCATAACATTCCTTTGCCCTATTCCAGTGTTCTCTATAAATAAGTATCATTTCCATTTATAAGAAAGTTGTAAAGAATAAAAGCTCAAGGCATGGCAGTGTATGTTCCAGTTTCTTGGGATGCCAAGATCTCGAACAGGGTTCCCCAAACTCTTCATGTCATCGACTCTTGCCTGAAATTTTAGATTGTTCATTTATTATATAAAAATATTTTAATATATACCACTTTAATTAACAGAACTATAAATAACAACAAGGCCCTTAGGAAGGCCTCAATAGGTAGATAAAAATGCCAAATCAAGTCTAAACATCTGGATGACTGTGCAATGAGCAATAATAATAATTGATTCTTTGACAGTCCCAATCAAATCTTTGAGGATGATATTGACCACTTTATGGAATCCTGATCTAGAATCACCTCCTCTGTAGCCCAACTTGTTGAATATGAAACATCATACACACATTCTTTCTCCTTCCTTTTCTCCTTCTGGTTTTTCTAATCCTAATTTTTAAAGTTGCAGATTACTTACCTGAAATCAATATAACATTTGCCTCTTTAACACCAAAGATGCCACATACCCTCATGGCAGAACACAGGTCATTATTAAAAAAGAATCGTATAAAAATGTGTAAGAGCAGAGATGTGAACTGAAGAAAAAAAATCAAGATTACCACCTAGCACTGGGGATTAGTTTTCCACCTATCGCTCTGATGACACTTGTTATGTTTGATGTTTGTTATCTGATTCCTGTTGTTTTGTGAAATTTGTTACAGCACAGTCCGAGTTGCCTGCGGGCTTACCAGCTTTAGCTCTGTTTAGTTGCTTTTGTGTCGTTTTAGTTTTCTGCGCCGCCCAGAGTCCACTGGAGGTGGTCAACAGCCAATAATACATTTTAATAATAACACCACCATCCATCGTCCCTATTCCTGCAGCCTAGCCGTACCAAGAGAAGTAAGCGTTCATTCATATTTCAAACCCACCCCCCCGCCCGACTCCCCAGCCCCAAATAGGCTGATTTCATCACCTAAACGAAGCTTTCCCTTGGTGTATTTAATTAACTGGACCCCATTTTCCGGGCAAGTCCCGCCATCGAGCCCCAAACTAAGCTCACGGCTGAATTTGCAAAACACGGGAGGCAAAACGCAAACCCAAACAGACCCTCGTGGCCGCCGTTTCTATGGCTCGGGAGATCGAGGGAACCTCTGCCACGGCGAGGTGTGCGAGACCTCCGTCAAGGCAGAAACTAGCCAGGGAGGAATCGGGCCGCTTAGCCGGCGGGGAAGGGTTGGGGGCGAGAGAAAGCCAATCCAGCCCCTTCTCCCTCCGCCCCCCCCCCATCCCCACCACCACGGTTGAGGATTAAGGCAGTGCCGAGCCGCGTTGGAAAGGCCCTACCGGCCAAGAGGGGAAGGTGGCGGGGCCGCTCAAGCTGGGCCCGTCCGGGAAAAGCGGGCGGGAGCAGGCGGCAAAGGAGGTCGCGGCCGGCTCCGGGGGTCACTCCGTCTCTCACCGTCGGTTACAGCTCCCATGGCGGCGGCGGCGGCGGCGGCAGCGGTTGCTCCTGCTGCAGGAGCCGGTCTGGGCGGCGGCGTCGGCGAGTGAGGTGGATCAGACTCAGACGGCCGCTTCCCACAATGCAGCAGCGGCAGCCGGGTGAGCGGTAGCCATGGAGGGGGAGGAGGTGGTGGCGTCGTCGTCGTCGTCGTCGGTGGCGGCGGCGGCGGCGGCGACGGTTGGGGCCTGAAGCTCGCCGGGCCGAGACAAGTTGGGGGCAAAAAAGAGGGAAGGCGGCCGAGGTTGGCAAGGCAGGCGAGCCCGGGCGGCAGCCGGGCTGCAGAAGTCCGCCCAGTGAGTCCCGCTCCTCTGGGCCAGGCCTCCCCACTCCAGCAGGGCGCCTTCCTCACCAGGTGAGGACAAAACCGGGGAGGGTGGCAGGTGAGGGGACAAGGCTCCTCCCCCCTGCCCAGGTGTGCGGGGGAGGCCTGCCTTGGCCACTGGCCCTGTAACCTTTGGTGACCTTTGCTCAGTCTCCCTGGGGCTGCCATGCTGTGTGCTCTGTCCTGCTGACCATTTTGGGCACCACCTGTACCACATGTGCTCTTCTTGGCTGCCAGTGTCAAAATGCTGCTACGTGACTTCCCTGAGTCTCATTGTTCTGCTCTTATTTTCCTCCGCAGCTATTTATTTAGTATTCTTTCATCTCTCTTCAGTTGCTGTACCATTGTGGGTCACTTTTCCTTTCCATGGGTAACATTGCACAGTAGTGGCAGCGGCGGCTGATAACTGCCATTGCTGCAATCCGGCACATCGTGCAGCCATCCCTATCATGATGCCCTTTATAACTGGCACCATTGCTGTGAAGCTTCTGCCATCAACATCCTCATTGCCATGTCGTCGTCATTGACTGCTTATCGCTTCCATCTCTCCAGCCTTCTCTTATCGATTTTAGTATCTGTCGCTGATACGGACCCTGCTATTGCCAATAGTAGCATTGCCATCATTGATAGTCTCCTAATGAAATTTGCCGCTTTTGCTACTGCACCATTAACCTAAATACAACTTTCCTTGTCTATCCTCTCTTGATTTCTTTGAAAAGCTTATGGTATAACTTTTCTTGGAACCACATCATTTCATGTGTTTTCCCCATATATATGTTTTCAGCTTTGCTATTTATGTTTACAGTTGTGCCTGTGTTCTTTTACTGGTGGTATTCCCGCACTAATAACAGAAACACACATACACTATAAATACTTCAATTGTGTTGCTGCCATTGCTTTCCCTTCATTTCTTCCATTGCACATCCATGCCCTCTTCTTTTTCATCACTGCAAGAAACCCCTTTATGTGTTGGGTAGGGGGCTGTACTAGAAGATCTCTGAGGTCTGTTCCAATCCTATGATTCTGTGATTTTTAGTACACTAATCTGCTTGCTGAAATTTCTCCTTGTAGTGTCTGTAACATTCTGTTTAACTTATTGCTTCTATTTTTTCCCATCGTTATGTTTTGTTTTCTTTGATAATTTCCATTGTGAATTTCCTTACATTTCTAGACACTGGATTTACTTCCTTTTCCTTCTCTGAAATCACTTCTATTATTTTGTCTTTGAAACATCTAGTCTACCGTTTCTACTATTGTTTGATTTGATTGTTTCTGTTGTACCATTGTAAACATCATGAATGTAAACCTCTTGACAGGATCCACTTGGTAACTCTTATACAGTAAGTGGATTAAATGTTACAATGCCTCAGTAATTTTCATATCTTTGATAGTGTTTTACTTATTATTGTTGTCCTTTGCAATTTGTTACATATGTTTCACTGGCCATAGTTGCTTTTGTTGAAGTACTATAATTGGTAAAACAAAACAGTAAGATCATAGCAGGTAGCTGAATGAGAAAAAGCTAAGCTAGTGTCAGAAATTATTTGCAACTGGATGGGAGACCATCTTGTAATCTGAAGAGCTTTAGACTAAACTGCAAAGTTTTTAAAAAATCCTGAAAGGAAATGGCGGCAATTTATTATCAAGAGTGGACTTGTCCATGAATTCACAGAATTCACTTACCTCCAAGGAGACTACTTTAAATAAGAGGGAGTATTCGATAAAAAATTATGTTTCCTTTATAGTATTCATAATAAGGAGAGTCAGGTCATATTAAACTTGAAGAATATTATGACTCATCCCATTGAATTCTTTTTTTTCTTTGTAAGCGCTATTGAAAAATAGAGATATGAATGGATTCCACAATTCATTTATAAGGAGGTCCTTGTATATCAGATTAAAAATTCTAAATATTTGTTATTTAATTGTATATCCAGTAGTTAATCCAGAATGGGACCTGTCGTAGAGTCTGCAGTGGGTTAGGAAGTATGAGGAGGTTTTGGAAGCATAACTATTTTTCTATTTATGTTGTTTCTGTTTTCCTGACAATTTAAGTATCAGCTGTTGATAGTAGAGTGAAGAATAGTGTTCATGCTGGGAAAAGTCAGGCAAAGAGGCAGAAGCAATTGTTTATTCTTGTTCTTATGCCTGCCTTGTTCTTCAGAATTGCTTTTGAACCCAGTCAAACTTCCACCTGTGGTGCAGGAAGAAAGTGAAAGACAAAATATTAGAAATGTATTGAATTTTTTAAAAAGAAAAAGAAAAGGGAGTTTTGGAACTATCTAAGACAGTGGTTCTCAACCTGTGGGTCGAGACCCCATTTGGGGTCGAACGACCATTTCACGGGGGTCGCCAAACAAGGCTGTCCGCCATTTTCCCCCTTTTCTTTGGCCATGCCCCTGGCACCCGGTGATGTATAAGTGGTTGGGGGGTCACCACAACATGGGGAACTGTATTATGGGGTCGCGGCATTAGAAAGGTTGAGAACCACTGATCTAAGAACTGTATGTTGAAAATTACAGGGATAATAGTGAGAAGCTATAGACCTATGGAACTGCAAGCTTTCAGTAATCATAAGTGGGAATCTATTTTCTTTCAAGGAAATATCTCAACATTTGAAACAACGGACATTTCATTCACGATTCCTGGTTTTTAAGCATCAATAGTAAAATAATAACATGAGCAGTTTTTTCAACAATTTTTTCACAGATTTGTATTTCTTTTCAATGTGTTTATATTGGAACTTTCAAGAATTATTATAATGTGCTGTATATTGAGTAAGAAATCATGAAGATGCAGTAATTTGCAATTTGCCCCACTTTAAATGTGAAGTTGTATAATCATAGATTTGGATCCTGAGAATAACTTCTGATGAAACTCAGGAAATGCAATTTAAGATGAAGCCAGTTCTGTCTCTCTAGTACCTTGTTCACAGGTTAAACGTTTAGAATGCTATTAGGTCATAAGCTGGAGGCCTTCAGTCCAGAAATGGGAAAGCATTTCTTATAGCCTATTTTTACCAGTAGCAGCAAAAGGAGTCTTTTATGTTGCTATCTTTAAATCATTCTGTTGAGGAAAAATTGTATTAACCTGGTATACTGTTCATTTCTATAAAGGAGTGCTATGATTTTTATTCAGTTTGCTATTGAAAATAAATACTGTCAGAGTGTTCTTAACTCTTAAGTTTGTGTTTTTTCTAAGCTCCATGTGGTGTATCAGAAGATTTTCATTTAAAAAAAAAAAAAAAGCAGTGCCTGTAACCAGAATTCTGTCCAGCTCTCTTTTGGATTCCTGAATGCAGCCATTATTATTCTGTGATACTGGATAATTATGGCAATGTGAGTTCAGTAGAACTAGGGCTGCATTTTCCCTCTTAATAGATTGTTCAGAGAAAAGTGCCTGAATTGTTGTCTTATTCTCTTTACCACCACCACCACCAAGTGTAATTGCTATCATATCTACATGCTACTTCTGGGAATGGTGACTATGACAAAATTGAATATATTTGTTTTCTATGTTGGTTTTATGGGACTGAACAGTTCTTTAGATTCAAAGCCAAAAAGGTATTTCAAACTATACAGGAGGATGAATGTTTTCACCTACCTACAACTCCTTAAAATAGCTGCGCATTTCTCTGGAATCTCACGCAACTCTACACAACTGCAGTATGATCCTGGAAACAGATGTGTTGGGTTTAAGAGGTTGTAGACAGGTGCTATTTGCTTGCTCCACACACTCCAAAGCACCACTTTGCCTTTGAATCTGAAGCTCTGCTGCACAGCTAATGCGTATAATTGTCAACAAGACACAAAATCCATTCTCTGAAGCCAATAGGAGAAGTGATATTCGGTCATGTAGTAATCCTTACACAATTTACTATAGAGAATATAGTTGAGCTTATTTAAGATTGCTTTGCATGATTATTTGTGGGACAAATTCCATTGATTCTTTCTTGTACTCTGTTTTTAACATAAATAAATAATTTGGAATAGCCAACACAGAACTGGATTACCATTTAATTATAACACATGCTGTAAACTTGGCAAAATGTGGCCTTTTACCTTTCCTTACATTGTAATTGTCTCTATTATAACCATTTATTGGGGCATATGATGTTAATTAATAGTAGCAAAACAAAAAAGACTCTTCTGATGCCATAAACATCTATTATCCTGGCATTAGCTTATATGGGCTATAACCCACTCCCACAGGTTAGTATTAGTTGAACATACATTTAAGGTTCGTATACTTAACCACAATCAGTATTTTTATATTTCTTTCTACTCTGACATTATTGCGTGCATTTTTATATTTGTCAATTTAAGAAGTCATTGAAATTCATGCTTGTAATGAAATTTCACCTCAATTAATGAGAACAAAGTAGATAACCATCTGTTGAAGCTCATTAAATGATCCAGAATGGACTATTATAGTCTTTGCAAATGTAATGAGGTAATAACGTTTACTGTAAAAGGAGAAATATTGCTTTCTGTAATTTATCTATTGCATTTTGATTCATAGCCTAACTATATTTAAGCAATTTTTTTAATATTAGGTATCACTCATCTTTCAGTTATGTTTCACAAAGTTAAATTTCACAACATTGGGTATCTTGTTTTTAAAATACCTAATATATTTTTGGCATATGTTTGACAAGTTAAAATAATTTTTAATTTGTATTCCTGTCTTTTTATACTGTGTTATTTTTGTTAGACTGTAACAACTTATTTCAGTTTGATTTTGATAGTTTTATCTTTAAATTATGGGATTCGGTATATTTTTTGTTAGTCTTTACAATTCAGTTTGAAATAATGGTTTCATTGATGTAGACATAAGTAAGTGTAGTCTTTTAACTTAAAACCAAAAAGATGCCACCTTATCAATACAAAAAAGATGACATTTGGGAAGAAAGGATGGTTTCAGTTTTACAACTTTGACTAAAATTTCTGGATTAAATATGGAAAGAGAACTATCTCTGAATAAAGAATCTATAACATATTTTCTTTCTCGGAATGAATGAAATTTTTGAAAGAAAGCAAAATATGGAGTCTTCTTTTCAATATGACAAAATATTCAATAAGAATTTTTAAGAGTACAGGTACATAATTCATCTCGTAAAGCTTACATGTGTTTTTGTACCTAGAAGATGCTGCCTTCTCCAGGAAATAACTTATATATAGTACATAGAATTTAGATTTGTTGTGAGTTGCTACTTGGTTT